TTATCTCTTGGTATTAAAGTCTAAAGTCTAAGTTCAGTTACGAATTCAATTAATCAGAGAGACGACAGCTTAGGCAAACAGTCGGTAATTCACCGGACGCAAGAGAAAAATCGGCCTTGGTATTATCTCTTGGTATTAAAGTCTAAGTTACAAATTCAAAATCAGTTTAAAAGTAATTATATAACTCTGTCTGTGAGAGTTCCTTCATCCCCTGCTGATTGAGTCAGCAGGTTTCTGCTTTTTTTCTAGTTAAAACTAAAAGTTAACAACGGAGTAATTAGCATTGCAACACTTGCTGCCTTAATCCAGCAAGGTGGTTATCATCTTTGCTATACAAATAAAAAATAAATAACGAATTTATTTTATGTTCATGCAAAAGGAAAGCCGGCTGACATATTTGGTGTTGGAAAAAAATTAAAAAACGCACGAGGGACCTGTACTTTCAAAGCATAGAACCTGTAGCCGACAATTCGAAATGGGTTTTATACGTTAATTGATCCTTCAACAAATTCCAAACGCGCAAAACACTGAACACAAACTCGGGTGACACTGAAAGCAAAGGCAATTGCCCCAAGCAGACATTTATACCAAAAGTATTAAACGAAAAAAACAAGACGCTAAACGAATCGTGCTGATGTCGCCCTAAGAGATGATAAACAAAACCAGAAATTCGCAAAATTCATAAGAAATATATGAGTTCGTTTTCTAATCGACGTTTTCCTCGGCGTTGCGGTCTTGACTGGTCCCCGGCATGACGAGCTTTGAACCACTTAATCCTTTTATGCAAATGAGCTAATGCGAGCTTCAATCTCGCACAAAGCTCATTTGCATAGTAACCAGATACTTCTGACTCACACAGGCGACTTCCAAATGATAAACTAACGAGGTGTGAATTAGTTGTACGAATGCCTCATTCTTCCGGAGACGTCAATCAACTGTGCTTTTAATGATAGAACCGATCAAGAATGCGCAAAATTTCACAAAGGCATTTTTACAGGATTTCCGAAATCTCCACCAAGTTTCCAATCAGACCGTTCGTCCCCAAAAGAAATGTTTTCTTGAGAAAAATGTTTAAAATCAATTATCAAAAAGTATTTTAGAAGGATATATTTTGACTGCTCGATTAACAGGTGAGCGTTTTCAATAAAATGAAATAAGCTTTGATAGATATTTGTATTCCTTTGTTATAGGTACTTTGTTGTCAGTAACTTGAATTAAGCAGACAACACTGCTTGTCTGAAACAAGCCGAAGGAACTAAATAGTTACATTGATCAACAAAAAACTAAAAAGACAGAAACGATTGTTTTTTTTCCTAAGCGTTTTACTAACAATCCATGATTTCGCAGTTATCCATAACAACATTTTATTTAAATCAAAATCAATATGTTGACCAGGTATTTCAGTTCTGGAAGTATGGTATGCGA